TCGCGCGGGAGAATCTCATCGCCAGTGTGAATGGGTAAGAAGTGAATACACAGTTCAATGAGCCAAATTAATTTATTTTCTCCACCAGACGCTCGAGGAAATTTACGAGCCGGTCCAGCCGCTCGTTGATCCCCGCGATCCCCCTGATGATTTCTTCCTGCGATTGCAGGACCCCCTCCGCGAGGACCCTTCCACTGCGTCCGGGTGGTCCAGCGGAAGCGCCGCGGCTGGTGGACGCTCCACCGCTTGTCGGCGCGCTGGTGCTGATGCTGGTGCTGGGGCCGGGGTGGCCCGAATGCCGCTGGTCCTGGCCGACGACTCCGAGCCGGCGGACGGGCTGCCGCGGGCCGGGGTTCCGCAAGCCGGCGACACGGCCGACACATTAATTTCTGTGACACAATAAAAATATTAGTTCATTTCAATTCCTGCTTCTGTGTATCTGTTGCGTTTACATCTCTCTCCACGGTATCATAGGTAATGTAATCCAGTATTTCGAGGTCAGTTATGCACATTACAGTTGTTTATTGCATAAAAAGTTATTGAAAAATTAAGTTAAGGGCGAAGTATAAATCACGTCTAAAAATAGACTGAATCCCGACGTTGAAATGAAGTATAAACTTAGACTAGACGTCTAATATACGTCTTTTGCTCAGTGGGATGACAAAGCATGTGGACATTTGTGTGACACGCCACTTACCCTATAATAATAATCGCCACCACCCGCTGCTCAAACGGTGTGAGGGTCTCCTCCCCGGACCCCCACCTGTCTGGCCGGTACTCCTCCGGAGGGCAGCTGTACGCCGCTTGACCTCCACCTTGAGGTCCGACCACTTTTTTTAATCTCCGCGGGGGTGCGTGTCTCGGAACCCACCGCATTCACCCTCTCGCAAACTTTCTCCCACTCCAAGCGTTTTTGTTTTGCACTGACGCCACTGGACAGGCTGCCAAACAAAACACGCTGTCGCTCCTCCACCTCCGCCACCAGCACCTCCACCTCGCACGCCGTAAATGTAGTTTTTCTTGTCATTTTGTCTGCGTGCGAGGACAGGGAGACCCTATTTAAATAAATCTGCATATTTATAGGAGGGCGTAACGGGGACGGGCCCAGTCACTCCGACATCTGCGCTCAATTCCACGCTGATTGGGATTTATCAAGGAAACACACGTGGATTTCGGCGCCCGCACACATTGATACATACGGATTTTTTTCAGCGTGACGGACCTTGCGTGCGCTCGTTTCTGGTATGAGTTCCACGCAAGTGTTGATACATGAGGCCCCAGAACTTTATGGATCTTTCAGATAACCGATCCTCCTCCGCCCATCTCCTCACCCCAAAGTCACGGCCCAAGCACCGAACCTGGGGGGAGCGGGCATTCTCCACAGCTACCCCTACCACCCTCTGGAACTCCCTACCACCCTCCATCAGACACTGCCCTGACCCCACTACTTTCAAATCCCTTTTAAAAACTCACTTATTTAAAATTGCTTTTAATACTTAACTGTTTTATTCATTTTATTTATTTCTTTATTTATTTCTACTGTTCTTATGTCTTTGTTTTATTACCTTGGGTTTTATGTACTATGAAAAGCGTCTTTGAGTGTTTTTAAAAGCGCTGTACAAATAAAATGAATTATTATTATTATTGGTTTTATAATGCATGTGTTGAAGATGGAGTTGTGATCCACAGGACCGCATATGTAATCTATACATGTACTGTATATACAAATTACACATGTGTCTTCTTGGACCATTGATCTGCATGCAGAGATAATAAACTGGAGCAAAAATTTGCAAACAAAGCACACAGATATGTGTATGACTCTTTTTTTCTCGACTTGGCTCTGGCTTGCTCAATAAAATTCTGCATTGCTGGCTATTTCTTCTATTTTTGAGCGACTTTGTTCACCTTGTGTCTTCCTCTTTTATTTCTCTGGCACTGTAGAGTCACAGCTGGCTTCACAGTCATGACTTCAGAGAGGAGTAGAGCCTTTTGTTGTGATAAATATTAACTTCGAGTTACTAAACCCTGAATATGAGATGATCCAATTTTTTGTGCTATACTTGAAAACAAGAAGGCCCTGAGTTTTACTACTGACAATACCTCACCATTTGTTCATAGCAGTAAACAGCGAGGCTGATGCCAACTGGCAATGAACAAAAACAGACTGGATAATAAAAAAATCACAAATATAAACAAAAAAAAGAAAGTGTGAGCTTTCTCTGTGTATGTGCTTACCCAACAGAGCAATGAGGAGGGAGGTCAGCTTCATCTCTGCTGACCCGCTCTCCAGAGTCCAGCGTGTCCCCCCATGAGCAGACCAGCTGCCCTGAAGGACACGCTGACGGCTGCTCTTGCTGATCTCTGCCTGCTGTGGAGACTTTATACGGATAAAGTAGATTCAGATGAGGTTGACAAAGAGACAGGCTTTCTGAGCACAACTCTAAAGTAAGTCCCATTGTGTTTGACTCCTATTCTCACCATAGGAAACACTTTTCTAATGAGTTTACGGTATTCATGTCTAGTTTTGAGTCCTCTAAAAGTCAGCATGGTGTTAACAGTAAATGGCTGCACTACTGAGGTTTGAGAGTTTGCTTTAAGGTGATGCTTGAGTTCGAAAAGTTAGTTGAAACTACCATGGCAACCTGACATTTAAGACAGAGGAATGCTTTTTTATCTCATCTTTAAATATAGATCTAATATAGATCCACCTTCATTATTTTTGCTTTTGTTTAGAAAAGAAGTTGCCTTATTTGCCACACAGTTGTTGTTCTCCAAAGCCTTAAAAAACTGAAACGTTGAGAAACATTTTGAGGTTTTTTTTTGTCCTTGTCTTGAAAGCTTTATTTTAAAGTTTAAGAATGTGTTTTTGGTCAACTTGATGACTTTATTGTACAACTTTTTTGTCCCATTTTCCCCTTAACCTATGGCTTATTTTTTCAAGTCTAACCAGACATGTCAATATATAAAGAAAGTCAAACAATAAAACAATATAGACTACACATAAGGCCACTATGGCTTCTCTCCATGAGGACAAATGCAAGTTCAACTTGTGTCGAAACATGGTCGTAAGTCAATCATCACACACAAGTTTTAGCCAGTGTGGGTCCTTGGTTGACAGACATGCCGAAAAATAACACTAACAGAAAAAAATCCTATTGTACACCTTTTGTTTTCCAGTTCAAGTCAAAGTATAGTGATATAGGGTTTGGTCATTCTGCCCTGACTGTAAGTGGGTGTAATAGAATAAAAAAAAACTGCTCACATTGGGAAATTGTGTCTAAAAAACTGCCTATGAGTACAGTTTAGGTCTTGTATTGGGAAAAGCCTGACATGTATTTATGTGTCAGATCTGCGACACACCAAAAAATATGCCCTGAGAGAGCCCAGCCTCCAGACTGATCCGGGCCTGAACTGGGCTCAACTTTAGCTTCCTGAAATCCCGCAGGAGATAAAAAGGATGAGACAAAGAGCACTCGGAGATTCAGACTTTTTTTTTTTATTCTAACATTGTAACCCCTGACCAGCCGCTGCAAGAATCTGCCTGACTGTAAGAGAGTCACTTTCGAAAACTGGAAATAAGAAGTCACTCACTGCCAGGGTTAACAAGAGAGATGGTTGGAATAAACGAGCCCACAGTCTGTAGCATTACCGACTGTAGGAGGAAAAGTTGGAAATCTAAAGACTGCAGACTGACAAAAGGGCAAAAGACAACACTGTAAGTTTGGTGGTTGGTATAAATCGAATTTCCCCTTTCTGTTTTTTTTATACTTGCTTTCGAGACATAGCAAGAAGAAGAACTTATGAACGTAAAACACTGATTTGTTCAAATAAGAGGACAGAGTATGAATGCAGCACAGCTCACATTTGAAATAGTTCCAAGTTCAAGGTCCACCACACCATCATACATGGACATGAGTAAAACAGGCATTCACTGTCCAGGTAGAGTATCAGGGACAGGGTTGAAAAGAAAATTAATTAGAAATGTGGATTTTTTTTTTTACTATGCACTTGAAGACAAAAATCAGACTGTGAATACAAGGTTATAAAACAACCTAATGAATAAAGTCAAGAAAAGTAAAATATGAAAACTCCTTCACTCGTTTTGTAGTGATTGAAAAGCTAATCTAATAACATCATCAAAGCACGTGGTAAGTGAATAGACAGGCAACATGTTATTTGTGCGTCACCAGACACTATTAAGATTTAAACAAACCTAAGATGCTGTTGGCTCTCCCTGCGTGATCTTAAACGCAACAATAGATTAAAAAAGTACGTAAAAAGTTGCCTTCATTAAGACTCTTTTTTTTGTTTGTTTGTTTTTTCTCTTGCTTCAGGATTCATTAATCTCAAAATTTTGTTTAGTTTGGGTGACTGAGCAGCTGGCTAAGATGCAGCAGCTTCACTTTTGTATGATGTTTATGATGTTATGCTGAAAATTCTTTTGTTATTCTTGTTTGGTTCATCAGTTACTTGCTTATGCTCACAAATTAACCCATATGGCTTTATGCTAACTTTGCAGGAGTTCAACAATGTAACTGAAATTATAAACTTCATCCTTTTTCCTCCCTTTTACTTTCACATTTCACTTTCACTATTCAACACAGTAATGTAGCAATGCGAAAAGTGCGACCTCTGCACTTTGCAACTCTTAACTTTTTCCCTGAAGTTGTATTTTGATTCTTTTCTTAGAAATAGATGAACCCCTTTCCTTAAAATTGAATTTGGACTTTTTTCCCCAGCTTTTAAGCACGCACACTCGACAGCTTTAGCCATGGTGGCTCTGTGATTGACAGGTACTGAAAAATAAAAAGACTATGCTAGAAATTCTCTCCAATTTAGAGGAAAAGTGACAGAAAAATTCTTACTTTGCAGCTTTCATTTTCCTCTTTAAGTCAAAGTTTGGTGACCTAACACTTTTGCCTTTTTCTCTGAGTCAAATTTTGTTTGTTTTCTTGATATTACGCTTATTATTTGTTCTTAAACTGCATTTTTACTTAATGTATATGTAGCCCTCTCTCTGTATCTCGCGCGCGCCTGCCGGCTCTCCAACACCTCCACAGCTAGGCTACTCTGCGTTGTGTCTGCTTATGTGTGAAATGGACCTCTGGCGGGGGGGGCAGCGGCAGCCGGTAAGGAGATGCACACGGACACAGATGGGTTCGGGATCGTGGCAATACCGTTGGTTTATTCACAACACAGGGGTCTACAAGGTTGATATCAGAACTCTCAGTAAACTTCAAATAGAAAAGTGTATTACAATGCTACATCTCATTCAAGTTAGCGCTATTACACTCGTATTCCAAACGTAGATTTTACCAAAAATATAAAGTAGTTAGCTCAACAAATTACACAGCTATCAAGTGCTTAATGTTTCAGTCATCAAAATAGCTCATCAAAACAAACTTATAACAGCTTATATGCTTAATATTTCGTACTTTATCTTCCCATGAAACTAACGTGACTTACCTACAAGGTTGATATCAGAACTCTAAAGGAAATGCTCATTACACCCGCGATATCAACCCCTACGGTGTGTCAGAGGGACAAAAGGCAATTCTCAATAGTAAACTCTTGTTTTAATGTGCAGCGACACCTAGTGGCGCAACTCAGCATCTACCTTACACCCACCCCTTCTTTAAGAGATGGCGTCCCCGCCATCAGACTCATTCAAAAGAGACTCATGAGGTAACTCAAAGAACTTCAAAAATAAACAAATATGTGACAAGTGTGTGTGTGTGTGTGTATAAAGTGTGTAGAAAATGTGTGTGTGGGGGAGCTGACTCATCTAGGTGTGTGCACTACGTGGCCCTAAATGTGTCCAGCTGCTCTTCTTGCTTTGGCCCTTTGCCACAACTTTCTTCCTCTCTCTATCTTCTGCTGGTCACTTTCCACTTCCATGGCCCGGCACTCTAAAGACAGTTTCAGGGGAGGACGTCGACTCCTTCTCGGCCTTCTCCTTGGAGTGTCAACGCCTCGAGAGGAAGAGGTACCACCACTGGTCACCAGCATATCCCCTTGTGTCTCTGTGTCGGTCAGTTCGGTGCTGGGGTGCTCTTCTCCCCCAACTGCTCCAGTCAAAGCCCCATCTTCCACTTCCTCCATACTGTCATCTTCACCCAGATCAACACCAGTCTCACACGGTTCATTATCCAGCTGGCTCTCCTCCAAGACTAGGTTACTTCGATCCACAGGCAGGAACATGCACTGGGTAAGGAGGTTTCTGTGCAGCACCCTCTCCGGTCCTCCATTCTCCGGTCTCACCACATAAACAGGTACGTTGGGCTGCTTCTTGACAATGACATATGGGCGTGACTCCCAACGGTCTCCCAGTTTCTGTCTCCCCTCCACATGGCAAACTTTGACTAAGACTCGGTCCCCAGCAGCAAAGTCTTCACTTCTGGCTTTCAGATCATAGTACTTTTTCTGCTGCTCTTTAGCATGCTGAGATGTTTGGTTAGCCAGGGTATAAGCCTCCGTCAAAGAATCATGCAGAGTCTGGACATACTCGTGGTATCCACAGGGCTGATTTGCGGTGGGGGACCCGAAAATCAGGTCAATCGGGAGCCGTGGGTACCTACCAAACATCAGGTAGTACGGGCTATACCCGGTGGAGTCGTGTTGTGAGCAGTTATATGCATGTGTCATGGCATCCAAGTGTTCGTGCCACCGAGGCTTCAAGTGCGGCTTTAGTGTCCCCAGCATATTCATCAGGGTACGGTTGAACCTCTCGGTGGTCCCATTCCCCTGAGGATGGTAGGGCGACGTGTGTGTTTTAGTAATGCCGGTACACTTGCACAGCTCTTTCACAATAGCACTTTCGAAGTTGCGCCCCCTATCCGAATGCAGCTTTGCAGGGAAGCCGAAACGACTGAAGTAGTTCCTCCACAATACTCTTGCCACTGTGCCCGCCTTTTGGTCCCTGGTGGGGTAGGCCTGCGCGTAACGGGAGAAGTGGTCAGTGACAACGAGCACATTTTCAATGCCACCTTTGGACTTCTCAAGCGTCAAATAGTCCATGCAGACTAACTCCATGGGGGCACTGGTGTGTATACTGACTAGGGGAGCTCTGACGTTAGCTGTGGGAGTCTTTCTCAGGCAACATCGCTCACACTGCTCACACCAGGCTTTAATCTCTTGAAACATTCTTGGCCAATAAAATCTCTCACGTATCATCTGCAATGTTCTCTCAAATCCTAAATGTCCGGAATCATCATGAAGAGCAGTTTTAACAGCTACACGCAGCCTCTGTGGCAGTATTAGCTGCTCCAACTCTCCTCTATGGCAGTCACGGACCCGCCGGTAAATGACACCATTCTTCACCACTAATCTCCTCCACTCTTTTAAGAGAAGGCCCCCACTTGCACCCACTTCCACCCTCTCGGTGCGGCTTGGTTTCCGGTTGCGGGACTTGAAGTGCAGGACTGGACCAATGTCCGGATCTTCTCTTTGCGCTGCCCGAATCTCCTGTGTTGTCATAGCGGGCAGTGCCTCCATTCCCACGTCTCCATAGGGTCGACTCGGCTCCAACAGCTGGCCACTCTCTGGCGCCTCCATAGAAGCAGCAGTTTCCCCGGAGGACTCCTCCACTTCCTGGGTGCCATGTGTCTCATTCTGCCCCTTTACATCAGCTACCACTTGCTGGGGGCAAGTCTGCAGGACTTCACTGACCTCTTGGTTGGACATGCGTGAAAGGGCGTCGGCGTTAGAGTTGTCTTGGTCCCTCCTATACTGGATATCAAAATCAAAGATCGACAGGTGAGAAACCCACCGCTGGCCAGTGGCGTCGAGTTTGGCAGTGCTCATTACGTACTTCAGAGGGTTGTTGTCCGTTAGCACAGAGAACTTGCGTCCATAAAGGTGGTCATGGAATTTGTCTGTGACCGCCCACTTAAGAGCGAGGAATTCGAGCTTGTGCGCAGGATATCTCGTCTCAGGTGGGGTCAAGCCTCTGCTAGCGTAAGCGACAACTCTCTCTGCTCCACCCTGGATCTGTGCAAGCACAGCCCCAAGCCCATCTCTCGACGCGTCAGTCTGCAGCAGGAAGGGCAGGCTGTAATCTGGATAGCCCAGGACCGGTGCATTGGTCAGCTTCTCTTTCAACGCCAGGAATGCCTCCTCACACTCAGAAGTCCACAGAAAGGTCGGATCGGGGGCTGGATTCTTCTGGGCCCCTCTCTTCTTGCTTCTAGGGTCTCCCGAGGTGAGGCGGTACAAGGGTGCAGCTAGACTGGAGTATGACTTGACGTAGCGTCTATAGTAGCCAGCAAACCCAAGGAATTGAAGCACTTCCCTGCGGTCTGTAGGCCTCGGCCAGTCTTTGACACGGCTGATCTTCTCCGGGTCCGTCCTGATGCCGTCTGCCGACACCAGATGACCCAGGTAGTTCACTTCCTTTCTCACGAACTGGCACTTTGACGGCTTAAGCTTCAAGCCATGCTCTCTAAGCCGATTGAAGACACACTGCAGTCGGTCTAGGTGTTCACTGAAGGTCGAAGAAAAAATAATTATGTCGTCCAAATAAATAAGTAGATGCGTAAAGTTCAAGTCACCGAAGCAACAGGTCATTAACCTCTGGAATGTGGAGGGGGCGTTTTGAAGCCCAAATGGCATTCTGTTGGCCTCGAAAAGCCCCATGGGAGTGCTAAAGGCTGTCTTGTGCTTGTCGTGTTCCGCTACCTCCACTTGCCAATAACCGGAGGTCAGGTCGAGCGTGGAGAAGTATTTAGCTTGTCCTAACGACTCTAAGGCCTCCTCAATTCTTGGTAGAGGAAACGCATCTCGGGTGCTGCAGGAGTTAAGCTTTCTGTAGTCAATACAGAGTCTTAATGACCCATCTTTCTTGGTCACGACGACCACTGGTGAGGCATAAGGGCTTTTACTTGGACGGATGACCCCGGTTGCCTCCATCTCAGTTAACATGCGCCGCACGTCTTGCCATTGGGATGGGGGTATCTTACGGTAGGGTAATCGGAAAGGCCTTGAGTCTACCAGTGGGATCTCGTGCTGTATGGTTGTGGTGTGGCCATAGTCCAGGGAGTGCTGCAAGAACACATCCGCATTCTTGTTTAGCAGTGTTTCCAGACTGGTGCGTTGATCTTCGGTCTCCACTGCCGCGTCACTTAGGTCCACACCACAGCTCGCCACCACTTGTCCCAGGCTGAGGCATGCCTCCTTGTTCCCAGGCCCCCCCCCCTCGTTCTCAGGAAACTCCAGAACGCGGTGTATCAGGACGGCACTGGCCAGGGTTGTGTGGGGCTTAATAGTTATGACACGCTGGGACAGGTTCATCACTCTAACTGGAGCACATCCTCCCTTTACATCAACAAGAACTTTGGCAACCAGGAGGTCTTGGGGAAGACGCACCGAGGCCTGGCTCTCAATCAGGGCAGTGTAGATCTTTCTCCGAGGACCATCTTTAATCTTGCATCTCAAATCCATCTCTTTACCCGCAGGAATGCGTACTTTACGGCCGGTGTACACAGCAGGACCTACCACATCATGCATTTCACTTTGCTCGGCGCTCCCCACCTTCAGCAGTGCTGTGTACCACTCTGGATGCTTCTCTTTCACCAGATGGAGGAACTGCTGGCCATATGACGCTTGGAGGTGGCTGCGGGAGGCTCTGATGACATTTGTGCCCACTAGAAGGGGGACTGAAGAACGGTAGTCGGAGTCAGGAACTACGAAGGTAGGCACAGCTTTATGCTCTTTTCCAAGAACTTTCAAGTCAATATTCACCACACCGTGGTAGGGCACAGTTTGGCCAGCTGCGCCCTCTATGGGTACTTTGGAGGGCTTTAGCTTCAGTCTCTGCAAGACAGGGTGGCTCTGCCAGTAGCTGTGTGTGATGCTGGTTATCTGGGAGCCAGAGTCAATGAGAGCCCTACACTGCATGCCGTTGACTTCGACTTCTCCTTCGTTCCTGGGCCCGACTAGAGGTGTCTCCTCTTTTCCAGTGCTAATGTCTCTTGTGGGTGGATGGGGGCCTCGCTGTATGCCCATGGTTGCCCCAGCTACCATGGGCCTTAAGCGTTTAAAGGCTGGTCTGATTGGGGTGTGGGCCCCACGGCAGGGGCGTTTGGTTGGGGGGTTCCAGCAGGGGCAGGGGCTGGCAGCACTGCTCTACAAATTCGGGCGGTGTGGCCGAGCTTACCACACCGATAACAGATGAAGCTTGTGCTTGGGGCCGCCCTAGCCCGTGGGGGCTGAACTGCTTGGATGGGGGTAGGGGGTGGTGAAGCTATTCTCCGCTCAAGGTGGGACAACTTGGCCATTTGTTCTTCTTGCTTAAGAGCTAGCCTCTTTACAATCTCAGTCAACTCTGATAATTCAGAAGTGGGGTTTACCTTTTCAGGTTTCACATTTCTATCTCCCTCTGGCGTAACATGTACTTGGGTAACAGTCTTTTTCCCTTTGTTTTGAGACTGGAACTTTTTGTTTTCTCTTGCCAGGTTACGGAGCTCATTCTGCAGCTCTCGAAAGCTCAGCAGTCTAGGTGTCATGGGTGCTATTCTCATATACACCTCTTCATCGGTGAGCCCTCTCATGAACTGGCGGGTGAGTTTGCTGTCACGGTCGGGGAAAGGCTTGCCTCCCCTCTGCTTCTCTTCAACAGCACGCAGTTTCGACTCCAGCGCTATAGCATAAGAGCAGACGGACTCACCCGGGTTTTGGCTCCGCTCATAGAAGTCAGCTAATGGGTCTAAAGACCCTCTTGCGTCGCCATACTCTGCTCTCAGTTCCTCGAATGCTTTCTCTGGGCTCTGGTTATGGATGGGTATGTTTAGAATTAACTTCCGGGCTTCACCGCCCAGGTGCCTCACCACCGTGGAAAAACGCAGGTGCGTGGGGAGTTCAATCGCTTCCAGGAGATATTGCATGTCACGCACCCAGTCCTCCACTAAAATCTTGCAGTCTGGATTACCCGTGAAGACTGGAACATTTTTCACTTGATGCGTTTGCATGAAACCACCATAGGCTGACACTGGGGGGCTTGCACTGGCTCTAGTTTGAACAGGGGTCTGTGAATGCGGCGCTTGTGGGTAACTGTACAGGCTAGGCAATGTTGCAGGATCGGGGTGAATATCAGCAGCAGTATGCTCAGACATTACAGGGGGGCTATAGGGGGTGGTGTTGGGGGCATACCCATGAGCAGGGGGTAGGGGCACTGAATCACTATGGCTGGAACCCAGAACATTACTAGATGTTTCAGAGAAATGCACTTGAGGGGTCCGCCCCATAGCAGCAGGCTGGTTAGCTATGCTTGCTGCTAACGGTATTTGGAAACGTGGCCCAGGCATTTGGGTTGCAGGGGTGGAGTGTGCATAGCCTAGGTATACTGGGGGGCTGGGTCTAACAGACTGGAAAGCATAGGGGGTGGCTCTGGGGTAGGGCATGGGGAGCCGGTGAACCGCTGGCCTCTGAGCGCTAACACTGTGTGGGGTGCTTTGTGGAGGCAGGGAGGCTGTGGGTCCATGCTCGCTGGGGGTGTGAACAGAGGCATTCGCCGGTGTCTCCGTCGGGCTGCTTGGGTTGGTGACAGGACTGATGTCAAGGCAGAGCGGGGGTATCTGTCCTGAAGCCCCGGAGCCCGGCTGTCTGGATGGACGGACTGGCGTGATGTACTGAGCCTCATAAGCTGAATACATGGAGGATGGGAAAGCGTGTCGTTGCAAAGGGGGCATTGAACCACTTGCTTCAGGCCCAGCTGGAGGTAAGAGGCTGGGCGTCACAGTGGAGGGACTTTGCAGCTCAAGTGCTGAATCAGTGTAATTCTGTGTCATCTTGCTATATGTTTTATGTGAAATGCAAAATAAATGTTGCCGTAACAACGCAATGTGTGTGTCTGAAATATGCAATTACTGTGTGCAAATAAAGTATTTCAATACTGTCTGTGTGTAATGCAGTGTAATATGTCTTTCAGTATTACCAGAGTAACCAAAAAATATCAGCTATGTCTAAAAACTTAACTTAATAGGCCATTAAACTTAATTACTTAGTCAGTTCACTTAAATGTTCAACTCAAAAATGTCACTAAATATCAGTTAGCTGAATACACAAGCTTAAATGAGTCTTGAAACAAACAGAAAAATATCCTCGAATATCAAATAGCTTTAAATAGCTTCAGTTTACCATTAATTTCCACTCAAAATTCAGCTTACCCATTAGAAAAATATTCAAAATGCAATAGCAGTAGTAATTCGTATTCACAACAGTCTCCAAAGGATATAGCTGGGGCGGTAACGTTGCTTCAGAACCATGAAAAAAAAGTTGCAAATGTCCGTCAGCTCCAGGAAAAGTTCACGGTTCAATGTTCAATACAAGCCTGGTTGTAGAATTCCCTCTTCGGTAAGGCAACACCACGATCCGGGTCACGGCACCAAAGTTGTAGCCCTCTCTCTGTATCTCGCGCGCGCCTGCCGGCTCTCCAACACCTCCACAGCTAGGCTACTCTGCGTTGTGTCTGCTTATGTGTGAAATGGACCTCTGGCGGGGGGTGCAGCGGCAGCCGGTAAGGAGATGCACACGGACACAGATGGGTTCGGGATCGTGGCAATACCGTTGGTTTATTCACAACACAGGGGTCTACAAGGTTGATATCAGAACTCTAAAGGAAATGCTCATTACACCCGCGATATCAACCCCTACGGTGTGTCAGAGGGACAAAAGGCAATTCTCAATAGTAAACTCTTGTTTTAATGTGCAGCGACACCTAGTGGCGCAACTCAGCATCTACCTTACATATACAAAGACAGGTAGACTTCTCTAGAGTGGTTTAGGACTGTGCTGAATAACTTATGCAGCATTTGCATCTCCATAAATTATTTATTGGTATGTAAAGCCTTTGTTTGCCCATCCACCCAATCTAACCACCATCAACCACTGGTTAACTGTATGACTGTATATTTTAGCCTGAGTTTGATGTGATCAGCTGAAAAAATACACACAGAAGAGGCAAACAGCAGCCACGCCAGCTTTGATGCTATTTTCTCTCATTTAAGTACATGCATGCAAATATTTCCTTCAGATGGCAGATGGGGATTCATGGCTGTTGAAAGAAAACATCATCTGAAAACAGAAATAAAACACCAAAAGGTCTCGGCTGAGCTTGTTCGTCATTAGAAAAACAATCTGTGGTTTTTTAAAGTGAAGTGGCAGGAGGAGCACCACTCCAGCACACTTCACCGCCTGTACTTTCAGTTTGAGACACAGCTCACCGCGCAACACTTGGCGGTGGCTTAGCGGTGTGAGGAAAGATGAAGGGAAGGTCAACACGAACAAATCTGGCTATTCTGAATTGTAAATGCAGTGTTCAAAAAGTGACCTTTGAGGGGGATCTGTGCTAATGATGCTAATGAATCCCCCTGACATCCCGCTGCATTGTCTCCTTCCCCTCCCTCGGCTTCACTAATCACATCATCCCCAAATATTTTCCCTTTTTTGACAAAACCGATGATAGATGTGATGGTCATTTATCATAGCGGCAGCAGGCTAATGCTATCAGCTCCTGGCAGCAGGTTTTAATCATCCTCTTATGGGTGAAGCTGGTGGCACATTATCCAATACTGCACATCTTGCAGAGTGGGGAAATGTTATTAAAAAGTTGCAAAGCTGGTAGATTGTAAGACAGGCTAACTGCAGAGGAGCTCTGGGTTTCAATCTCTGAGCGCTGCATATCTAAGAGCACAATGAGAGCTGTGTATCATCAGACCTGAAAGTCCAATAACCTCCAAAAAGCAGCCAGGATATTAAGCGCTCATGTATCATATCATATAACACAGAACCTGGGCTAAATTGCCTGAACAGAAAATGTAATAGCTTTTTAGCACAAAACAGCAATTCTCTCCTGGTTTACAGAGAAGCATATTCTGCTGAAACACGACTCTAATTGCCCTCTTTTCCTTCAGTCAGGTATTTTTTTTTCCCACTCTGAAATGTATTCTCAGAGCCTGTGGGACCACAAGCCTAATTCAGGAGTGTTTTATTCCATTTCTTGTAATTGCTTCATTAAAGAGATAAATCAGAAATCCCTCTGGTCTCCGACACAAAACATGCAAACAGTAATCGGCAGATTTTCCGCAGTCATGTTCCTGTGTGTTATTAGACACTTTGCCAAAGGTGGGATGACACAAAGTTCACACTCTCTCACTGGCGGAGATTTTAGGTTTCGGTACTTTGCAAGAGTTTGCAGTCAACACAATTATCGGCACTTTTTACTCCTTGCACATCGTCTTAAAAGGAAGTGACTATTTTTCAGAGTGCGTTCAAAAGAGCAAGACAATCCCGAAGCTAATGTAATATTCGTATTCAGGGGGGGTGCATTGTGGGGGGCGAGTGGGGGACTGACCACCCTGGGCTCAAACAGAGGAAAAGGACTTTGATGAGCCTGAAATAGAAATGCAGTTTTGGTTTGCTTTATATCTTTCAAGTTCAGTTAAACGAGCAGAATTAATTGAAAAAATTGTCAACTTCTCAACTGGAAAACTGGGTAGTCTCTCTTAGAGGCCTCTCTCACCCCTACTTAAAGTACAAAATGGTTTATTCCAGTCTGTGTGTAACTTTGGACTGATCCGACCTCTGTCTGTCAAGCTAAGAGAGAGACGCTACAACACCATAAAAAAATCAGGATATCAAAAGAAAAAAAGAAAGAAAGCATGAGGAAATAGTTATCAGAGGAAACAGCTGAAATGAGGGACATCAACTTCTAAAGAAAATACAGTGACTACAGACGCAAAGCAAGACATAAAAAATCATCAAGAAAGACCACTCAACTTCATAAAAGTTTCACAAAAGTCAAAACAAAATGTGTCTACACTTGAAATCAAGCAACTTGAAAAGCTCTTGCTCCTCTCTGTTATCAGCCGTCATGGTGAATTGTTAGAACGTTGCTGAATGACTCAACTGTACAGTCAAAACACAGAAATAACCAACATGCATCATGTTAAAGATACAATACAGTTTCTCATTGTTTTTATAACAGTTGATTTGGTTTCCAAGAAGGTAATGAAGCCATATACCCCATATGGAGTTTAACAAATAGATGTAGTTGGATTTTGGTGATGAAAATCAATGTATCGACTTAATGAATGAATCATTACACAACTATTGTCGTGCATATGGTTCATTATGTTTCTCTTTTATGGATACAGATGGGTGTCTGCAGTCTTGGCAGGTTGTTGGTTGCCAGATCTTGCATTAAAAGGAGATATTTTCGTTGCCAGATCACGCAGGAGTTAGTTGGAGACAAAGTTTACTTACTCCCGATTTTTCTTTCTGTGAGCAGTGTTTCAGAGTCAGAATGTTTTCTCCATTTGTGGCCTCTAAAAGTGTCCTGTTATTCACTTTGGTAGCTTTAGATAAGAAGAATCGTCTCATTATTTTGCTGTTTGAGTAAATAAACCAAGGTCCTGCTACAAGTCTTAAAAGAGAGGCAGGCCGGGCTGGAAAAATTCCTGACACAGATACAGGAAATGGCTCTTTAAGTGCTCCGTCTGCTTTCTGAACCGTCCCTAGTATACTTAAAGAAAGTGGCTGCATTATGTGTTTGACCCAAGGTTGTTGGCAACCAGCAGCAACTTGTATTTACCGGATGCATTTGTATTTCTTGTGGAGTTTAAAGCCTTTTACTTTTGCATATTGGGGGGACAGCCGGTCCAAACAAACAGAAACATAAGTACAAAAGAAGATTCGTGCCAAAACGAGCGCCAAAGCGATCTGCATATAAACGCAACCTCACTTAAAGCTTTCCACCCACGCGAGCAGGTTTGTTTGCAGCCAGGAAATCACCGAACAAGAGCAAGTGTATCGTGACTGGGTTTATGCTTCAGCTGACAACATTTAAAAGTGAGGAACAAAAGGTTTTCTTTTTTCATCTTACCATCTGTTTCTCTTCTACATGAAATATTTACAACCCTCGGGTTTGTTTCTCTATAACTGCAGTTACATCATTTTTTTCAGGATTTTCAACCTTGAGGAGAAAATATTTCTCTTTATTTCACTTATGGTTGCAGAGATTTAACAACCAGAGAAACATTAACTGTGTGAATTATTAAAACACATTATAAACTTATTAAAGCATTTCACAACAGAGGATGATACCAAACTGCAGAAAAAGTACCTATACACCATACTCAAGAGAAATGCAGATAAAGATAAGTAGATGGCAGTACTGATTTTTCTTCTTCACTGAAGTAACTGCAAAGTACTGTGGTTTTAACTAACTGTAACAGAGAGAAAAGTTTCCCTCTGAGCTTCAACTTAAAAAGTCAAACTTTGAATAAAATTGGAAAATAATTAATATAATTCGCGACCCATTAAATGTTATCCCATTGGGCTTCACAACCAACTTGTATCACACAATAACTAACATCATAATACATTTTATATCATGACTGAAATGTAATGCTATGACTTAGACACTAAAACTGATGTTTGAAAGAAAAAAAATGATCATTGTTAGAATTTGACAAAGCATGAGCCCACATCCAGGAATCGGGGAGTGCAAATCCATGCTTATGTAACTGCGCATAGTGCTAGTTCAGGCAGGCCATGAAAGTCAACCTTAGCCCATCTCAGCAGTTTGGTAGCACATGGACAATATAAGTATCATGAAAAGCAATTTGTGGTTGTTTCAGCCAAAGCTCAAAATCCAAAAACTGTCACAGCAAAAACACCATCTAAGCACAATTTTGTTTAATTAGATTCGAACACATGGACCAAACAAGCAGCAGGTTTGATGATGTAAAAGTCACCAACACCAAAAACATTGAAAACATGAGCTCTCAGTCACTGCAGATTACAGCTTCAGTATATTCAATGGACCCTTCACACAGCAGCTTCAACAAATAAACATGAAAGCGGTATAAAAACACACAGCACCAAAGCATTTCAGTGTTGCTAGCATCTTAGCCAACACCATATTTCCACACAAATAAACAAGCATCGCAGACAGAAAATGTTACTTACTGTTTGCTGTTCACACTTCCCAGAGTTGAGAAAGTTGGTGTTCATCCTGGTCAAGCTCAACCAAAATGGAAGTTGTTGATCAGGGGTCCTTCAAAGTCTCACCTAAGGTCCTCACTGATGTGCCATACTAAAAACTAAAAGCCCTCTCTTTCCTTTCTTGGTCTTTTCTCTAATTGATAAATCTACTCTCCATTTAAAGGACAAAAACCTCAGCAAGACACTAAAACAGATGTTTAAAAGGTGAATTTATCATTGTTGAAATTTGACAAAGCACCGTCCCACACCCAAGAATCAGGGAGTGCAAATCCCTGCGTATGTAACTGCACATAGTGCTAGTTCAGGCAGGCCATGAAAGTCAATCTCAGCCCATATCAGATGATACCTTATCTCTTTACCTGCACATTCATATAGTTTATCTGGTGCACAAGTAGCACACGGACAATGCAAGTATAATGAAAAGAAATTTGTGGTTGTTTCAGCCAAAGCTCAAAAATCCAAAAAACTCCCACAGACACAACAGCAAAAACATCATTTCAGCACAAACTTGGGTTTTTAGTCTTGCTTAATTACACTTAAACACATGGACCAAACATGCAGCAGGTTTGGTCATGCAAAAGTCACCAACACCAAATACATCGAAAACATGTGCTGTCAGTCACTGCAGATTACAGCTTCAGTACATTCAATGGACCCTTCACACAGCAGCTTCAACAAATAAACATGAAAGCGGTAAAAAAAACACACAGCACCAAAGCATGACAGTGTTGCTAGCATCTTAGCCAACACCAT